AGACCTATAACCACTAAGGAAATTGAAGCAGTCATCAAAAATCTCCCAACAAACAGGAGCCCATGGCTAGATGGTTTCCCAGGGGAATTCTACCATACATTTAAAGAAGAATTAATACCTATTCTTCTGAAACTGTTCCAAAAAATAGAAATGGAAGGAAATCTTCCAAACTCATTTTATGAGGCCAGCATTACCTCAATCCCCAAACCAGACAAAGACCCCATCAAAAAGGAGAATTACAGACCAATATCCCTGATGAACATGGATGCAAAAATTCTCACCAAAATACTAGCCAATAGGATCCAACAGTACACTAAAAGGATTATTCACCACGACCAAGTGGGATTTATTCCTGGGCTGCAAGGTTGGTTCAACATCTGCAAATCAATCAATGAGATACAATACATTAATAAAAGAAAGAACAAGAACCATATGATCCTGTCAATAGATGCAGAAAAAGCATTTGACAAAGTACCACATCCTTTCTTGATCAAAACTCTTCAGAGTGTAGGGATAGAGGGTACATACCACAGTATCATAAAAGCCATCTATGAAAAACCCACAGCAAATATCATGCTCAATGGAGAAAAACTGAGAGCTTTTCCCCTAAGGTCAAGAACACGGCAGGGATGACCACTATCACCACTGCTAGTCAATACAGTACTAGAAGTCCTGGTCTCAGCCATCAGACAACAAAAAGAAATAACAGGCATCCGAATCGGCCACGAAGAAGTCAAACTCTCACTGTTTGCAGATGATATGATACTTTATGTGGAAAACCCAAAAGACTCCACCCCAAAACTGCTAGAACTCATACAGGAATTCAGTCAAGTGGCAGGATATAAAATCAATGCACAGAAATCAGGGGCATTCCTATACACCAACAACAAGACAGAAAAAAGAGAAATTAAGAAGTCGGTCCCATTTACAATTGCATCCAAAACCGTAAGATACCTAGGACTAAATCTAACCAAAGTGGCAAAGAATCCATACTCAGAAAACTATAGAATACTCATGAAAGAAATTGACGAAGACACAAAGAAATGGAAAAACATTCCATGTTCATGGATTGGAAGAACAAATTTGTGAAAATGTCTATGTTACCTAGAGCAAATCTACACATTTAAGGCAATCCCTATGAAAATACCATCAACTTTTTTCAAAGAAATGGAACAAATAATCCTAAAATTTGTACAGAACAGAAAAGACCCCAAATTGTTAGAGGAATGTTGAGAAAGAAAAGCAAAGCTGGTGGCGTCACAATTCCGGACTTCAAGCTCTATTAGAAAGCTATAATCATCAAGACAGTATGGTACCGGTATAAAAACAGACACATAGATCAATGGAAAAGAATAGAGAGCCCAGAAATGGACCCTCAACTCTATGGTCAACTAGTCTTCAACAAAGCAGGAAAGAATATCCAATGGAAGAAAGACAGTCTCTTCAACAAATGGTGTTGGGAAAATTGGACAGCCACATGCAGAAGAATGAAACTGGACCATTTCCTTACACCACACACAAAAATAAGACTCAAAATGCATGCGCAGCCACACTGCTCTGGGTTTCAGTCTGGAGGGCTGCTTTCCCTGTCACTACACATGTAGTGAGAAGAAGGATCCAATGTTCATAGCAGCAATGTCCGCAATAGCCAAACTGTAGAAAGAGCCAAGATGCCCTTCAACAGACAAATGGATAAAGAAGATGTGGTCCATATATGCAATGGAATATTACTCAGCCATCAGAAAGGATGAATACCCAAGTTTTGCAGCAACATGGATGGAACTGGGGGAGATTATGCTAAGTGAAATAAGTCAAGCAGAGAAAGTCAATTATCATATGGTTTCACTTATTTGTGTAACATAAGGAATAGCATGGAGGACATTAGGTGAAGGAAGGGAAAAATGAAGGGGGCGAAATTGGAGGGGGCAGATGAACCATGAGAGTCTATGGACTCTGAGAGACAATCGGAGGGTTTTAGAGGGGATGGGGGTGGAGGGATGGGTTAGCCTGGTGATGGGTATTAAGATGGCACATATTGCATGGAGCAAAACAATGGTGTTATACGAGAACAATGAATCATGGAACACTACAACAAAAACTAATGAGGTACTGTATGGGGACTAACATAATAAAATTAAATTAAACCTAAAAAAATAGTCTCAAAATGGATGAAAGACCACAATGTGAAAGGAATCCATCAAAATCCTAAAGGAGAACACAGGCAGCAACCTCTTCAACCTCAGAAACAGCAACTTCTTGCTACACATGTCTCCAGAGGCAAGGGAAAGAAAAGCAAAAATGAACTATTGGGACTTCATCAAGATAAAAAGCTTTTGCACAGCAAAGGAAACAGTCAATAAAACCAAAAAACAACGAACAGAATGGGAGAAGATATTTGCAAATGACATATCAGATAAAGGGCTAGTATCCAAAGTCTATAAAGAACTTATCAAACTCAACACCCAAAGAACAAATAATCCAATCAAGAAATGGGGCAGAAGACATGAACATACATTTCTGCAAAGAAGACATCCAAATGGCCAACAGACACATGAAAAAGTGCTCAACATCACTCAGTATCAGGGAAATACAAATCAAAACCACAATGAGATACCACCTCATACCAGTCAGAATGGCTAAAATTAACAAGTCAGGAAATGACAGATGTTGGCAAGGATGCAGAGAAAGGGCAACTACACTGTTGGTGGGAATGCAAGCTGGTGCAGCCTCTCTGGAAAACAGTTATGGAGGTTCCTCAAAAAGTTTAAAATAGAGCTACCCTATGACCCAGTAATTGCACTACTGGGTATTTACCCCAAAGATACAAATGTAGTGATCCGAAGGGACACATACATCCCAATGTTTATAGCAGCAATGTCCACAATAGCCAAACTATGGAAAGAGCCTGATGTCCATCGACAGATGAATGGATAAGGAAGATGTATATATATACAATTGAATATTATGCAGCCATCAATAGGAATGAAAGCTTGCCATTTGCAATGACATGGATGGAACTAAAGGGTAGCATGCTAAGCGAAATAAGTCAATCAGAGAAAGACAAGTATCATATGATCTCAATGATATGAAGAATTTGAGAAACAAGGCAAAGGATCATAGGGGAAGGGAGGGAAAAATGAAACAAGATGAAACCAGAGAGGGAGACAAACCATAAAAGACTCTTAATCTCAGGAAACAAACTGAAGATTGCTGGAGTGGGGGGTGGGAGGGATAGGGTGGCTGGGTAATGGACATTGGGGAGGGTATGTGCTATGGTGAGCACTGTGAATTGTGTAAGACTGATGAATCACAGACCTGTACCCCTAAAAGAAATAATACATTATATGTTCATTAAAAAAAAAAAGATTTTATTTTATTTTTTTTGACAGAGAGACAGCACAAGCAGGGGGAGCGGCAGGCAGAGGGAGAAGCAGGCTCCTTGCTGGGCTGGGAGCCCGATGTGGGACTCAATCCCAAGACTGTGGGATCATGACCTGAGCCAAAGGCAGACGCTTAACCAACTGAGCCACCCAGGAGTCCCTGAAGCCTGTTTCTACAGACCCAGAACACCAGGGCCTGGGACCAAGCGAAGTGTGCAGTAAGTTATCATGTTTGGTTCCTCTCCTGACTGGCTGGTCCCATTTATAGATTCTTATCAGAAGCTGGACACGAACCAAGCTTTGGTTAAAAGAGGGTCCTCACCATAAATGCCCACAGGGTCTAAGCCTAAAAGGTGAATCAGTGAAATGTTGGGTGAAAGACAACGGGAAATGGAGGGGATTCAGGCAAACAGAACAGCATAAATCCTATCTCAGTGGCAGCTGATTCTCACCTCACCGAGAATGTAAATTCAGTACTATCACAGCCTTGTTTTTTAAGGAGAAAACAGAAATCCAGATTTTTATGTGCAAATGTCTGAGTTTTAAATGTCATCAATGAATCTAAGTTTAAAAACAAAATAAAACCATGAGAAGCCAACACCCCAGTTCTGAAGGCCACATTCTGTCTGCAGGGGCCAGCAAATCCTGGCTTAGACACGGTATGCCTTCAACAGGTGGGATTTAGCTCTGCAGGAAGGCTCAAGTCTCCGTGGTGACTAGGAGGAAAAGGGTGTGAGCTGGTGGAACAGTGGGCAGGGCTTTCTCCCCAAGGATCTCCTTCCACCTGAGACATTCCAGTCCAGCAGCTGCTGCCCAGCAGAAGCATGGCCATGGCTCTGAGGGCCTGGGGCCAGATCTCTGAAGTTGCTGCTGTCAGATCCCACTGCCCTGGCCCTGGGGGCCAGCACAGCCCAGCACACTGAGGACCCCAGGTGACGGTGCTGCCGATACCTACCACATATGATGGGAGTAAATATGGCCATGCCTTGGTACTGCTGTTTAGAAATAGTTTTGTTCAAGATGAGCCCTCCGAAACTGGAGAGAGAGTAGAGGGCAAATGGTTAGTTTACCCTTGTAGGTGACCTGGTACACCTCTATACAAAATGTTTTATCAGCCTGCCTTCTCAGCTTAGCAAACACTTTCCTGACCCCTACACAAAGTATCTGTTGTAGCCAAGCTGGTCTCCCCAGTGTCCTCTGCACTATGCGTGCTTGCTTCTCCACCTGTATTCTGAGCCTCAGCTGTTCCAGAAGACCCATCAGATAATGTCAGCCCATTAAAAACAAATGACGAACTCCCCTCCAAGGCTACTTAGCTGGCTGGGCTCTGCCACGTGACCCATGCCCTGAAATGTAACTGAAATGCTAGTTTCCTGAGCAGAAAATGGAACCTGCATGAGTATCGTCCCATGCTGCTTGTTCTCAGAGATGCCACAACAAGACCTCACTCCCACCAGCCCCTGTAGTTTAGCAAAGGCTGCCCTGCCGCTATAGCCCTGGAAAAGTTAGACCAGTTTGTATAAGGAGCCCAGGAGCTTTCTGGAAGCAAAGACACCTAGCCCATAACTCCTTCTCCCTGAGATTCAAGGTTAGGAAAGCACCTCAGAAAAGACTGGGGTGGCCCCTGTCCAAGTCTACTAACAGAAAGGGCTCTGGAGGATCAGGTTTCAAGGGTAGAAGACCTGAGATGAGCTGAAGGGCCCAGGGCCAATAATCCCTCAGCCTCCCAGGTCCCACCAGCAGCCATGCTATAGAAGTGGTGTTCACAGAGCCAGGTAAGGGGCTCCCTACAGCCTAAGCAGGGGTCCAGGCCAGTGAGAGCTCTGGCAGCATGGGAGCGGGAGACCCAGTGTCCTGCAGCGCCATGAGGGGGCAGGGAGTGGAAGCACTAGTGCACCCATCTGATGTTCCCAGGTTGGCTCTGCCTGGCTCTCTGGTGCTCCTGCAATTGTAAATAGGGCTGCCTCTCAGAATAAGTAAGGCCTAAGGTTCCTGGTGAGAGGGAAAGAGATGAAGAATAAAGAGGTATGACTCAACCAGCACCAGGACTTAAGGGAGGAGCCCACAGCAACCATGAGTGCCGCCCTCACTCCAGAGGTTCTGCAGCTCTCAGGCCACTCTCCTTGTCCACAGAAGCCACGGGTGGTATGTGAAGGGAGAAGTTGGTGGCAGCCTTCGCTCATGCTCACCTGCTGATGACCATCGCTAGGATGATTGGGAACCACCCAAACTTCAGGATCTTCATGATGGGTGGGTTCTGCTTGGCAATGAGGACCCAGATGGGGATCAGGGCCATGAAGCTAATACACAGCAGCGGCGTCAGATATCGATTGTCTGTGGGGAGAGGGAGGGGACACATGCCAGGGCACATGAGCATGGCCTGCTGGGCCATGGCCTGGGTTGCAAAGGTGAGAGGTGGGCAGAGAGCTAAAAGCACTAGAGGTCTGAGGAGACACTTCTGTCCCCAGCAGCTTAAAGTGGGCCAACCTAACATACCTCTCAAAGAATTTGTACCATCTCATGAAGCAACTGGAAAAGCTCCTCTTTGTCCTCAATTCCTGTCACTGTCCCCTTCACCTTTCTTTTTTGCTATTTTCCTGACATAAGTACCCTCTTCCATCTCCTCCCATGCCAACCTAGTTATTATTATTAATGGTGGCATTTATAGGATTGTGACCATGGGCCAGCACCATGCTCAGCATTTCCCAAGCACAAACTCATTTCACATTCTCAACTACCCCTCAGATAGGCATACTACAGTGTGACGAGATGGCCCACAAGGACTCGAGCCAGCATGCAGAAATCAGGGCTAATGCCAGAGTTAACTAATGATGCCAATCCTGCTTCTGGCTGAGGCCAGCCCAAGGTGACCTCCTTGGCATCCATGGGTCTCAGGGCCCAGAACATGGCCAGCTTTGCAGCTACTCATGCCCATGTCATTTTCTTGCACTGGTGTGAGTCATGAAAACACACCTGAATGTGGGACACCTGACTGTACCTCGGGTCCGGCCAGGGCCCAACACACACCAGCACCATTCCCACTCACACTCTTCCTGCTTATTCTCTGTGTGTCACCTTCCAAATGCACACAGAACAAGACACCAGCTTTCTCTAGAACTGTCTTCTCACCCCTTAGCCCTGCTTCCAAAGGGCAGGCTTAGGCAGGGTGGTGCATGCCCCTCTGCAGAGTGGGCCTCAGCACTCAGAGGTGTGCAGGTGGGTCTGCGCCCCACACCCCCTTTCTCTGAGCAGCATCATTAGGAGCATCTCCCACTTGTCTTTCTCTGCACTAGGCAATTACGGTCCATTCCTTTCCTTGAGCAACTACAAGGAAGGGTGGGCCACAGGTGCCCATGGTGGGCTCCGGACAAAGTGCTCCATGGCAGAAGTGGCCAGCCTCTTCACCATCCCAGGAGATGAGGGACAAGCCCAGCAAGCCCTAAGCACGTTTTGAAGGCTCTGGAAGGCAGCAGCCTATAGGGGCACTACTTGTGGGACAGTTTTGCAGGCCAGTTGTTCTAGAATGACTTGGAAGCCCTGACAGAGGTTCCACCTCATATTTTCCCACCACCATGATGAGTACATCCCCCCGCATATGGCTTGTCTTCCCAACTGCACTGACAGGTGACACAGTCGTCAGTGAAGATTTATCCGATACACACCAAGCCCAGTGAACCCCCCAAGCACACCCAAGGTGTAGTCACAGTCTAATTTGAGAGATGGACAGCCCAACACTACTCAACGGCTAGTAAGTCATGTGTTGAAATGCGCACTATTTCAGTAGGGGTACAGCAGGGTGGAGAGGAAGGGTCTCGGGACACCTATGAAACTCCATTAGCCAACCCATACACAAATCTTATTTTATAAATTCAGTTTGGTTTAAAAGGAAAATTAGGTCATCTTATCATTAGATCTTCACTACCACTTACAGGAACTTTGAGAATCTCCCAACCATTAAACATTGGTGGCAAGCATATCCCGGGGTGGCAAGGAGCCAGGCCCAAGGCTGAGAGGGAAAGGTTTCCAGGGCCTGAATACTCTAAGTGGCAGGTACTCTGTCAGTATGCTTCAGATGCCATCATGGAGATGCTGGGTGATCTCTCATGGTCCTGGGTCCACATTCCCACGGGGCAATGCTAAGCTGGAGCTTCAGTGCAGCTGTGCCTTTGTCCAGGCATTTTCTCCAATGCTCCCCACTGTCCTCTTCACCATCTGCACCACTCACTGATGCCACCTGCCCCCCTCCCAGCACTCAGGGTTGTGACCATGCTCAGAATCCACACTTACTAGATCCAAACAACTGCAGGTGGCCAGCTTAGGTGGAAAGTAACAACTGTGACACTCAGAGGGGAGTGGTCAGCTGTGGAAACCTAGCAGGTGAGAACCATCTGGCAAGGGGGATGCTGCCTGGTCACACTGCCCAGGGCATGAACAAACCTCGGTACTCCCAGGACACACCTGGGGAGACCCCTGGTGGGGTCAGGGCCTCTAGCCGTGAAGGCCCATCATACAAGATGTGTGACTGTCTCCCTCAGCTGCTGACCAGGGCACCGGACCACCTTCTGAGGAGCCCTGGGCTCCTCACACCTTTGGAGGGACCATATGCTGCTGCTGCCCATGGCTGTGACACTGCTGCTTGGGAGTCCCTTCCTGGGTGGTTTGTATGTGTCCAACGTGAACTGCCTTCCCATGGAGCTCTGTTAGCCTCCAGTCCTCCCTGGCCTCCCCGTGCACCCCTGTCCTAAGGGGGACACAGACAACATATCTGTTGACCGGAGTGGTTGGGAAAGCTTCAGATACCTGCTAGAGAACACCTCAAATCTGCTGAATGACCTCAGGCTTTGCCTTGGGAAAAGTAGGATTTCTGACCCCACAATAGACCCCATAGGTTCCTTTCTGTGTGAGGGTGCCTGATCTGAATGCTGTGGGCTGGGTGCGGATATCATACCCAGACCTGCTCGTGGCCCCCCCCTTCTTGGGGCACCCCTACCTTTGTGTTTGTAGAAGAAGCTGCTGACAAAAGCCAGAAGGGACAATGTAGTGAGGTCTCCCAGGCTGGCAGCAATAGGCGTGGCAATGTTGTCTGGGTTGAGCCCGAGCTTCCGAGCGCCAATCACTATACAAACCATCAGCATTCCTGCGGAGAGGAGACAGAGGAAACGCAAAGCACAGGATGAGAAGGTGGCCGTGAGGCTGCTCAGTAATGCCTCGATCCACGTAGCCCAAGCCTGGAGCCAGGCTACCCTGACACTCAGTTTCACTGCTATGCTGGAGCCTGAGAATCAGGCAGTGGCAGTGGGAGGTTGGGGGGGGGTGGACCCCTGTGACAGGCTGCAAAGAGCAGCCTGAAAGCTTTGATGATACACTCAAACCCATGGGGGAGATAGCAGGGAGTTGACTCCCGGCTCCCCAACACCTGGGACTACAGACATGAAGCTCACAACCCCTCACTGCAGGAAAGAGGACTCCAAAACTGCTGTGAACGATGGAGTCCCAGGGGCAGGGCATGGCCTCTTGTGTCCACTGGAGTCCCCAGGGAAACAGGTACCTTGGTGGGATTAGCAACGCGAGAGGTTTGTTAGGGGCAAAGCCTGTGAGGGGGGAGTTGGGGGCAGGGGAACCAGGAGAGCCACAGGATGGCGCACAGGGTGCCCAGGGTGGGAGAGGGGGAGGGGAGGAAGGGGAAGCAGGTGCAGACTGCACTGAAGTACTGTCAGTGGGGCCACATCTCTGGGGCACAGGCCCATGTTGGGAGCCCAGCAGGGCCACCACTAGGTGCAGGCAGCAGGTGGCCTCTGCCAGTGGGGCTGGGGGTGGAGTTTCAGGTGCTGCACTGGAGACCTCCCCAGGGCCTACTTTCCGTCTTGACCCTGTGTTCTAAGGTGATAGTCATGTGTCATCTTCTAGCCCTCGGCCACTGCCTAGGACTTAAACCAACCAACAGTGTCACACGTGCATCTTTAAGAAGACACTTTGTATCTTGGCTATTGATGTTTTAACATTTTACCCAGTATTCATAACTCTAAACAAAATTATTATTCTCACCTCAATGCCATACTAATTGGCCACAGTTTGTGCCCTGTTTCATGACCAGGTCATAGCTGCTTTCTCTTTTGAAATGTCAGTCCTAAGTGAAGTTGAGTCTGCACAGCTGGTGGTCTGGTAACAATCCCACAGGGACTACACAGATACCACCAGTTTGAGAGCACCTACTAAAATCCACCAGCACCACCACCACCACCACCTGGCTTTACAGCAGAGTCACATCGAGGTCACACAAGGAGCCACCAGCAATGTTTCTGAACTTCTACACATCTCTGGACAATCCGGCTATGTCCATGCTGGTGAGCTCCGCCCCCTCTCTGGGCCTTAGTTTCCTCATCTGTAAAATGGGGAGTTAGGAATGGCATTCTCTACAGGGCCCCACAGAAACAGGACTGGCCTCCTGAATCATCTGATGGTGCTGTTTTCATTTTATTTTTTATTTTTTTAAAGATTTTATTTATTCATTCATGAGAGACAGAGAGAGAGAGAGAGAGAAGCAGAGGGAGAAGTAGGCTTTCCACGGAGCAGGGAGCCCGATACAGGACTCGATCCCAGGACCCTGGGATCATGACCTGAGCCGAAGGCAGACGCTTAACGACTGAGCCACCCAGGCGCCCTGATGGTGCTGTTTTCAGAAGAGACTTCATGTCAAGCATCTCCTGGGCTCTAATTCTCCAGAAGGTGTGGCGTACTCACCCTGCGCTTCCGTTGGCCAGACTGGTACAGGTATCTGGCCAGGAGCACACTCCTACCCAGGGAAGCACAGCTTGTGAATCTGCTCCTGGGTTTCTGCACTTTTACCCTCCCTCCTGATTATATACACTAGCACAGGAAGGAACAGAATTCACCACATAGCCCGCCACATCATCTTACAGAACACTGAGCTCAAAGGGGTTTTATGAGCAGTCAGATGGAGGACAGAAGTGTAAATGCAAATCCAATTTATTGTTTTCACTTATTCCTTCTTGTACTTGCACATGGTTTGCAAGAGACACTCAGACCAGAAGAGAACCAGAATAAAGCCCATTCATTCAGCAAACATTTAGGAGCTAAAATATGCCTATTTTAGGTAATGAAAATAACCATCAGATTAACATAACAATAAAAAAATTTAAAAAAAAAGAAAAGAAAATAACCATCAGGCTCTGCACTCACACAGTAAATGCTTGTTGGGCAGAGGAACAGAGAGTGCACAAATAAGTGAACAAGAATTTGAAGTAAACAAACAGGACATGAAAAGAAAGCATGACTGTGAATGGGGGGCTACCCTAGACACTTGGCCCTTTGTGCTCGTGTATGGATGTCTCACTGCACCAGAATATCAACATCACAGAACGGTGCAGTCACTCACCAGAGCATCCCTAGCACTGGAACAGTGCCTGGCACGCAGCAGACACTCAGTAAGTACTGAGGAAATGAGCGAATGGGTGACATTCTACAGTAACTGCCTGGCCACTGTCATGCGTGAGCTCATGTCTGTCAATGCTTGTGTCTTCCCGCCTTCTGCAGACACATAGGAGGCAATTGATGTGTGGCAGGCAGTGTGATAGGAACAGAACTGGAGAAGCAGGGCCCCTGTCTGAGGTGCTGACATTTTAGCAAGGAAGTGAGACAGAAAATGAATGAAGAAAGTGGATGATTACAGATTTTCACGAGTGCTCTATAAGGAAAACAGGTGCACGGCGCAGAAGAGCGTGGTGGCAGCTGCGGAGAAGGGCGGAGGATGGAACGTGTGCAAGGGCCACATGCAGAGATGAAATTGAAGTTAAAACCTGAGCCTTGCTCCCCACCATGACTGCAGACTCCAGATCCCACCACAAGCCCATATGCAAGCCATGCTTGAGAAATGTTTAAAGACTAACTGAATGAGTAAGTGAATGAATGAATGGATGGATGGATGAAGAAATGAATGTGTCTACTGAGCAAAGGCCAGTTCTTTAAACAAGCAGAGGGAAGAAATGTGGAGTCAGCAGCTCGCTCTGGCACACACACCCTGCCTAAGAGTAGGACTCATCATCTTCCCTGCCCACCTTTAAGGTGCGTCTTGGTAACCCAACAGGCTTTCCCCCAGCCCCTGGCAGGATATATGAGGCTCCACCATTAGTGCTCCCATCTTTCACATCTCAAGGAATTGCAACACAAAGAGCTGAGAGCAGACCACTGAGGAAGGGGGGCGGAGCAAGCTGGGGGGGGTGGTCACTGGGGTGGGCGCACAGCTCACCGAGGGCAAACGCGGCAAGGAAGGCGGTGATGACGCTACTGGCACACAGCAACTCCACCTTTGCCACATCTAACTCCTCCCTAGACACAGCGCCCAGCAGCAGGGCGGCCACAGCAGCCAGGAGCCCCACGACGGTGGCCTGCACCTGTCAGGGCAGAAATCAGAAATGTGAGGAAAGGTGCCACTGACCACCATCATTCCTCCCTGCCTTTCACTCTGCCTCCTCTGTGACCTTGAGAGGTCAGTATGTCACTCACCACTACCTCACGTCCCTTACCCTAAAGTCTGCCAGTGGCCCCTCCAACCTGGGAAAAACAAAGACTAACACCTTGCTTCAATCCAACTCCCTTGAAAACTGTTGTTTTCCTGTTCTGCAACTAGCTCAAGGCCATCTTGCTTCACGAAATCTTCATCTTCTACTCGACCCTTGGCCAAGGGCCACCAGTCTCTTGCCTGTGGCTCCTCCCACGGCTCTAGGCAAAAGTGCTCTCCAGCTGTACAGACAACCAATCTCCCCTGCAATGTGGAAACACTCCATGATCCACAGCTACACCTTGGAAGCCTCTGTGTACAATTTCCATCTTTCTCCCTGGCTTCCTTCCTTGGCACTTGCTCTGCATGCTGGTGCCCCCTTTCTCTACATTCTCCCCCATCCCAGCTGCAGTTCCCATTTCATCTTGGTGGGGACACATCTCTGCTGCTCACTCAGGCCAGTACCATGATGTGTCCAGGTCTGAGTATCAATACTAGCACCTGTTATCAGTATAGTTGACCCTTCAACAACAGAGGCATTGGTGTGCCAATGCAGGTGAAAATCTGTGTATAACTTGTGACTCCCCCAGAACTTAACTACTAATAGCTTACTGTTGACTGGAAGTCTTACCCATAACATAAAGTCGATTAACACCATATTTTGTATGTTACGTGTATTATATACTGTATCCTTACAATTCAGTAAGCTAGAGAAGAGAAAATTAAGAAAATCATAAGGAATCATACATTTACAGTACTGTATTTATTGAAACAAATCTGCATAGGGGCAGACCTGCCCAGTTCAAACCTGTGTTGTCCAAGGGTCAACTGCAATTCAAATGTCTTAATGGAAATGGAAACATGTTGTGTTATTAGAGAAGGCTGAATAAACAGAGAACTTTACCATATACATGAATGAAAAATGCTCCCCAAGTTAACCTATATAATTCCAATCAAAGTCCCAACAAGCTTCTTCATGGCACTTGACAACTTAAGTTTCACAAAGATGAGTAGATGTGCAAGAATAGCCAAGACAATTTGAGAAAAAAGATCAAGAGGGAGTTTTGGCACATTCATTATCAATACATAGTTTTAAGGCTATAGTAATTAAAACATGGTGGTATTGGCAGAGAAATAGACAAATAGATCAGCAGGACAGACTGGTGTCCAGGAATAGTATCATGAATATATGAAAATTAAAATATAAAAATTTAATAAAGATAAAGGTGGCATTTCAAATCAGTATGGAATGGGTGGATACTGAATAAACAGGGAAAGGGAAAGCAGGCATCTGTCTGGGGGGAGAAAATATATTTCTACTTTATACCGTGCGTGCACACACACACACACACACACACACACACACACCACTAAACATAAAACCTCAAGTGTAAAACAGGAGAAAATATAGAAAAGTATGTTTCAGATTTTGGATTAGAAAGGGACTCCTTCTGAAGATATAACATGTAAAATCTATAAAGAAAAATAGAGATAAATGTATATAACTCCAAGTATGACTTCTATGCGATACCAGAAATTCAAAGATGGAGAGACAGCTGGAGAAAATATCTCCAGCATTTACAACTAATAAAGTGTTAGTGATCAAAATAACAAACCAATGGCAACTTTTTAAAAAAGACAACCTGAAAGAAAAATGTACAAGGGGTATGGATAGACAATTCACATAAAAGGAAATACAAATGGCTAAGAAACACACAAAAATGTGACCAACTTCCTGAATAATCAGGAAAATTTAAAATAAAATCCCAATTTGATAGTAGCTATCTTATTTCTTTGTAACTGACATTGGTCTTCCTCTACTAAAAGGTCAGTGCCATCTCTGCAGGTGCTCAGCCCTCATCTGGGCTCATCCAATCAATGAATGAATTAATGGATGGGATATACTATTTTTATCCATCAGACTAGGTAAAATTAAAATTTAAAAGGCCAATAACATGAGATACACATTGACAAATATATGGGAAAATGGTTCTCTTATACATAGATGTGATATAATTGGTACAAGAATTTGGGGGGAGGGGATTTGGTTACTTTATGATCTAGCATTTTCCCAGGAATACATTTGCACATGTGAACAAAGAGTCACAAAATAATGATAATGATGACTGGAGCTGATATTTACTGAGTGCTTACTATCTGCTATTCTCAGTGATTTTCATTCATTAAGTCACTCTTAAAAGTACAAGTAACAGAATTATATGTCCAGTACAATACTTCTAATGCTTAAAAAACACAGAAAGTTGTATCATATATTGTCTATGGACACATACATATATATGGCAAATGCAGAAAGTCATTCAGAAGAATACTTTCAATGCTGGTGAGGTTATGGAGAAATTAATAACTGATATATTAATACTGGTCTATTATTTGGTACTAAGAATTCAAATATTTTATAATCCTTTTGGAAAAAAATCTAGAACTTCAAATTGTTCATACCTTGTGAACTTGTGGGAACTTCTCTTAAGAAATTCATGCAAAAGAGAATAATTTCATTGCAGTATAATTTATCGAGTAGAAGCATACGAACAATTGCAGGTGCACACTCGTGGTGACAGTTGAAAGAAGTGGAACAGGGCTGAGTCTGGACAGTTGGCATTGGCCCTGCCAGACCAGCTCTTTGTGCTTAGGTCCTACCAGTTGTTAAATATCACTCTTGGGTATATTTGTGATAGAATACAAAGTTATTAAAAAGTTCAATTATGAAATTTATTGTACCACTTGTGATTCAATGTTAAGCTTTTTAAAAAATGGGGGAGACAAAATTATATCCATGCTATGATCAGGACAATGTGCCAAGCCAGTGCCTGGCCCAGAGTGGGACTTAATGAATGTTTGTTGAGAATCAATCATGTGGAAATGTGCATGCATATGGGTAAGGACTTGGTGACTTGTAGCTGAGGCATTTATAACCTGCCCCTTGTCAGACCCTCTGTTAAGGGCATCACGAGCATCTCATTTAATCTCCAAAGTTCTTCAGCCACAGGCTGGGGTCCTGGCCTATGTGACTCAGCTCAAGCGGGGAAGGCAGACATCTAAACACAGAATGGCAACCAGGACAGCCCCAGCAGCTTGTACAAGGCCCCAGAGAGTACCCGGTATCGGGCTGGAACTGACTGGAGCTTCACTGCCAGGAGAACAGGAAGAGAAAGGACATTCCAAGGAGAGACAACCACATATACAAAGGCAGCAGGGATGGGGACTGAGACTGCAGGAGGGCAGGACCAGGCCAGGAGTGCCTCTGGGCTAGGCCTACACTTGGACAAGAAGGACCAACAAAGGCACCTCAGGAGGAGGACGCCTGATCAGCTTTAGGATTTAGAGAAGGCCGCTCAGGGGGCCATGCAGACGAGAGCCAGACAGGAAGAAGCTTGGGGCAGTGAGAACAGTGAAGAGGTCTGTCGTCAGTGAGGCCAGAGACCAAGAGGCCAAGGCAAGGAGGAGGAGAAGCAGGGCTGATTCAAGCACAGCTCAGACGCAGACTCCTCAGGACTGGACAGAAGGGTAAGGAGCAGAGAAACGCTGAGGGTGACTTGGTCTCTAGCTTGATTAATGGGCACAGCGACCACGACTGGGAGATTACCACGTGCTAGCCAGGTGTCACAGTCTTCCATGACTGAAACCTCACAATGGCCCATCTTGCAGAGAAGGAGAGGTGACTTGCCCAAGGGCCTCCAGCTGGTCGACCCCCAGAATGAGCTTTCAACCATCAAACTCTTCAGGGTTGGGGACTTCACCAGAAGTGAGTGCGAGGAGAGGAAGTGATGAGGCCAGATCTGGCTAAGCTGTTTTGCGGATGCTTCTGGTACAGGTAGATGGAGATACCCAGTGGAGAGCTAGAAACAGCGGCTCTGGAGCCCAGGTAAGAGTTAAAGTGGGTATCCTCCTAATTTGATGGACAGGGAAATACAGCTAAGCAAGTCTTGTGTGTCCTGCCCAAGGCCACCCAGTTGATAAATGATAGCCTTAACTCCAGGGCTGTCTGATCTCAGAGTCCAGGTTCTTTTTGTGGCCATAGGCTGCCCCCAGCCAGAGAAGCCCAGAAGGTTCTGGA